TATATATATATATATATATATATATATATATATATATATATATATATGTATTAACTTAAATTTAGTCAAAACTCGGTTTTCCGAGTTGTACTCTGCCAACAATAAAAACTACTTGCCCCGGGAGATCGGGCGATGGTTAACATCGAGCCCTGACATCATACCCAGGGAACAGAGTTTCCTTTTCCACCCCGTCACAGGACAAAACTTAAATTAAAGGGTAATTTTAGATAAAAATAAGACAAACAAAATGTTATTCACTTCAGAAAGTGTCTTTTTTTTTTTTCAAAAATGCCAATAGTGTTTTCAAAGTGTTATTTTTAATGTTTTTATTGGATGTACAGCATTAAGAAATACATGTAATATGTAAGAGATCATACTTTCTTTGCTAAAATGTACATGCTGACTTCAAAATCTACAATGAAACTTACATAAAATGTATATTTTTGCAAATATAAACTATGTGTGTAATTGCTTTGACCTCTAAATTACCTTTTGTTCTTAAAAAAAAAAAAACACTCTGTAATGGGGTGGAATATAGTGTGACGGAGTGAAACACTGTGACAGGGTGGTATGGACAAATCTAAGAACTGCACAATTTCAATTTCATAGTTGCTCAAATTTGCTAGATATGATTCGGGCCACAATTAATGACAGACACCAACAGAAATAACCACTGCTTTATTTAAGAAGAGCTCATCAAAAAAAACAAAAACCAATAATTACAGCTTACTTTGGGCAATATGATAATTTACAGCTGTTCTCAGCAACAAATTTTTGATGTAGTTTTTCATTGATTCCTTCAACCATCAGTGACAAGTGTGTCTGTGAGTTCTACTAATCTGACCTTGACTGATGCTGTTTCTGTGGATCAGAGTCTGGACTTTGTGGTGGAGGGAAGTTTTTCAAGGCCTCTTTTCTCTCTTGCCTTCTACTTTTATGCTCCCTCCACTTTTTCCTTTTCTGATGCTTGGCTCTCTCATTTAAATCTTGTATCCTTGTCTTTGTGCCTTTCTCTATATCCCTTCTCCATTTCTCTCGCTCACATTCTAAATACTTTTGCCTCCTTTGAGGATCAACATTACGGCGTGCCCGACAACGCCTCTGATTTTCAGCTGCATTTAATGGACTCATTTCCATCCTCCACTATCATCCTGATAACACAGAACAAACTGTTCAATTTGATGCTGGGGGAGGAAAGTATGAAAGAGATTTAAATAATTTCTACTACCGGTAATTCAATATGAAGAACGTTGCCACCTATCACAATGATTCCAACCCGCCACAGGCTTCATGCTGCGTTCACACCGGACGCAGCAGGCGCGGCAGAAGCAGCGAGTTTACATGCAAAGTATGGCGAGCCGATTGGGCCAATAATCGTCTGTTCTGTAATCGTTCTGGCTGGAAAAGCGCGGTGATGTAAAAAACGCGCGCTCGCGTATTGTACGGACGATTATTGGCCCAATGAGTCCAGCAAGATGGCGTACCGGGTGCAGCCAGAGCTGTAAGCTCCGTTTTTTTTTTGCCCCAATTGCCCCCGGGTGGGGGGATACTTTATCTGGTTAAAGTATCCTTGACATTTCCTTTGTTTTGTTTTGTTTTTTTTTGGGATGGGGATTAATCAGCAGTAGGTAAATCAGTTCTGTTGGTCTCTGGCCTCTCTTTGCTAAAACTGTGTCACTGTTTTTATGTTTTTGTCTCACCTCCTCTGTTAAGATTAGTATAATTACTCAATGTTAAAATATTGGCAAAGGCAGAGCTCAAAATAGACGTC